TTGAATTGTTTGCGATCATGGATGTCTCGCCATTTAAATCATTAACCTTTGCATTAGTTTTGTGTGAATAATTCATGTATTTGTAAATTGATTGCACGTTTATTGTAATTTAAATAACTGATCCAAGTGCGAATTTTAGATAATAAGTGCGACATTATTGTAATTATTGAACAATATAGTTCATGCAACTTTGACAGAAAAATTTACCAGTAAAAAAATTTGTTCATCACCATATTTGGTATAAACGCAAACACTTTTTAAAATTTAAAATCAAACTCAGCGTTGCTTTGGCGCGTTCCAAAACCAATAACTCTTTTTCAATAGCATTTTCGGATACAACAACACATATATTTTCGTTGTCCTCTTATTACTAAGAGAAAAAACAAGAACAACATCTCTATTCTATAACTGAAGATGTCTGTAGGAACAGACGAAAGCTTGTAGTAAAAATAACAACTAATACGGTAGAAATTTATATAAACAAGGATCAATTCATTCATAACGGATCTGGAGGTTTTTGTATACTATTTGAATTGTTTGCGATCATGGATGTCTTGCCATTTAAATCATTAACCTTTGCATTAGTTTTGTGTGAATAATTCATGTATTTGTAAATTGATTGCACGTTTATTGTAATATATATATATATATATATATATATATATATATATATATATATATATACTTTAGTAGCGGATATTACATTCGAACATATATGTAAAACCTCTGCATAAATGCATTTATGTTTCGATGCATATCATCGCATCTCATCAGGTCGTGGTAAATGAGGGTTATTACTGTTGGAGTTAATGGATACCCTGGTGTACTAGTGAGCCAGCCAAAATGAGCTGACTCATTTTATAGTTCACCAATAGAAGGGTTAACCAATCAGAAGGCTCAAAATATTCAATGCGACGTGTATAAAGGCGGCCATGTTTTTTTCCGACTATTCACTGGCAGCCTTTGATATCGAAGACTGAAGAATTACGGAACAGCTGCTGGTGGTATTGGCGATATAGTCAGATTCAATAGAGTGTCTGACTCGTGAGTGTTAATCTTTAATGTTGTTTCATTGAACAGATTACGTACTGTGCTGTGTTCTATATTCGTAGACTATGGTGAACATGGTCAACAATTACGATTCTTAATATTTACTTACATACAAGCTCATTTCTCGCGAAAAATAAGAAAAGCAAGCAAGAAGGAAAGACATACGATATAGTCAATTCTGAAAAGAAAAGAGAAAAAGACACAAGATATAGTCGTAAAAAGAGAAAAGAAAGACAACTTATAGTCTTGTTCCGGAATCTATGCTGACTCAGATGTATCAGAAGGTGATTTTTGTGAAGGCCAAGAATGTGCATGATCGTAATGCATTTATCCACAACAAATAAATCAAACAAATATATAAAGACAATTCAACTTCAAGAAATTACTGGAAACAGCGTAATTAGAGATTTCAACAATAACGTGAATTTATATATATATATATTTAACATACACAAAATGATAATAAGTTGCTTGTTAAATGTGGCAAGTGAGATAAGGTTACAAAGATTGTCCATGCAGAAATTTAGTATGTGAAGGTTGATAGTTTAAGTTTGTGAAATTAAAATAGTTTGATATCTGCAAGGGAAATTTTCAATTGTGAAAGTTCAAGTGATAGTCTGTATGTGTGTGACAACTGTTTGTGTTGATTTAAGTTACGAGGAGTTGTTGGCCTTTAACTGAATGTACATTTACTGTTTTGTAGTGATAATGTCACTTTTTCAGTAAATTTTAAGTTAAGTTTCTTCACGCGGCTATAGTCGTGCGAGTTGTGTTGATTTGATGAGAGGCTGGTAGTGTTATTGAGTCAGAGTGTTGGCACGCGTGGAGTCTGCTGGTATCTCTGGAAGCTCAGTGTCTGACTTACTTGAATTAAGTCGAGCGATTCTTTTTATAGATTTTCGAGTTTTCAAATAGGCTCCAGGCAGCTTGCGCGCGAAAAAGGTTTGTCTCAACTTTGCTACATTTTAGTGTCCTTTTAACCAATGGGGGATTGAGTTTGGAAAAGTAAAGTGATGATTGGTTAAAGGTTTATTTGAGGAAGAGTGCATCTTCCCTTTAGGAGGTGACAGGCAAATATGGAGGATTCCATAGTCTCTTAAAAAACGAAAAAAGAAGAAAGAAAATAAGAAGAGCGAGAAGGAAAGAAAGACATAAAGAAAAAGAAGAAGAGAGAAAGATAAATATAAGGATGATATAGAAATGTAAAGAAGCTAGACAATATATGTTGATAATGAGTTCAACCAATCAAAATAGTCGGTGTTATGTAAGAGGTCATGATCCCGAGATTCAAAATTCAACGGATACTTATTGTCTAGTTGAAAGAGAATTTAGATACTGTGTAAGGACCTACGAACGGTTGACATTTTCGCTGAAGAAGCAGCCTAAATTAACAATAATTATATAGCAGTATTTAAATAAATAGGCTCTTTAAGAAATAAAAACAGGAAAAATTTATCAAAATTGCAAAACCGAAAAAAGGAGAAGCTTAAAACAAAATAATAAAATAAATAAATAATTAAAATAAATAAATAAATAAATGAACCAAAACTTAAAAGTACATAGATCATATAAATAAATCAAATAAATAATAAAATAAGATGAATTATATAAAATTAAACTTAATAGAGTATAACAGATCAGTAAAGATATATATGTACGTAGTGAGATGACTTGTGGCCATTTTATATTTTAAATTTCGCTAATGCGCGTTATTTGTTGTTTATTTTGTCGACTGTACATTATAGTAGGGTCAGTTGGGCACCGTCTTTGAGAAAGGCGACCCATTATGCAATACACTCCGCCAGAACTTTCGAAACGGTATGCTGCACTGCTTGGAACTTTCCGCCGGAATCTCCAGTATGACCATTTCAGAGTGTTTGAGTACATTGCATAGGATTCGGAAAAAGATTGGATGAGTCTAATGGTGATTACGAAGGTACGGCAGCTCGGAAAACTCACTCTGATTGTTCTGATAAGGAAGCCTCATTCAACACGGAGGCCTACTTGAAGTGGTAGTGCTGCTCTGGGTAAAGAGGGTGGCTGTTAGACGATCTCATGTCTGGCAACATGACTCTGCACCATACCACACAAGAAGGAGAAATATGTCAGACAATTTCTGCGAATACATCACCCCTTAAATCTTACCACCTAACTCCCCAGATTGCAATCCCGTTCATTATTGTTTGTGGGGGTACTGATGAGCGAGAGACCAACAAAACTTCTTGTACCACCAAAGATAAAGAGAAGGCAAGGATTATAGCAGCAGTCACCATCTTAAACAAAGACATCGTCCAGAAGAATGAGATGCCATTGTTATTTTCATTTTTGCCTAATTTATACGAAAATTTATTCATCGCACTATATATATATATATATATATATATTAAGAAATGGACAAAGTCCGACAATTTATTTATTAAAGACATTTTTTATGTTTAACGTTCTTTTTTATAGATACAAGTATTTAAGTAAATGCTCTGTTTATAATAAACAGTATTAAATAACATTTATCGGCCTGAATGTCCGAGAAATTTTAATTTTCAAAAGAAGAATATTTTCTATGAAAATTTCTCGGACATTTAGGCCGGTAAATGCTATTTAATACTGTTTATTATAAACAGAGCATTTACTTAAATACTTGTATCTATAAAAAAGAACTTTAAACATAAAAAAATGTCTTTAATAAATATATATATATATATATATAAATATATATATATATATATCGAATTCGAATTCCAGTCCAGTTGATTCCTTTACATTCACTTACGTGCTAATACCCTTGGGAAAGGTATGAATACTCTTCCCTCCAGCTATGGGAAAATAGCAGGACAGACTGGGTTGTATAGTCTTGGATGGCAAGTGAATGACAACTCTGAATTCAAAATCTGCGGAGGGCCGTTTGGGGACCTTGTGGCCCATAGTGCACCAAGTCTCTGTATTCGTCCCATCAAAATGTATGGATAGTTCTGCACAAAACGTTCGCCATTATAATCAAATAACATGTGCTGGTGTCTGGCTGTCGGTTCCTAGGAACTGAGTTGCTTAACCCTCATACGTCTGGAATACAACAGGAGAGTCGAAATATATATATATATATATATATATATATATATATATATATATATATATATAGCGAGAGACGTTAAACACATCTATCTATCTATCTATCTATCTATCTATCTATCACTGAAACCAAGTACCGTCTTTGATATGTCTTTTGTATTCTCACGCGATCAAAACGGAATAGTCCATTATTTATGAGGTATTTGCAGGAGACGTTAAACACTTTATCTTCTATCTATCTATCTATCTATCTCTCTCTCTCTCTCTCTCTATATATATATATATATATATATATATATATATATATATATATCTTTATTTCACTGAAACCAAGTAGAGACAATGATATGTCTTTTGTATTTTCACGCGATCAAAACGGAATAGTCCATTATTTATGAGGTATTAGCAGAAGACATTAACAACTTCTATCTATCTATCTATCTATCTATCTATCTATCTATCTATCTATCTATCTCTGAAACCAATTACCGTCTTTGATATTTCTTTTGTATTCTCAAGCGATCAAAACAGAGTAGTCCTTTATTTACTAAGTATTGGCAGGAAGTAGAGGTCGTGCGAACTAAGGAAATATCGAAGGGAGGGCCAAGTACAATTATAATATGATTATTCTTGAATAAACTAAATATCTATGAACTATCAATGAGATTTATAGATAGAAATGTGTGTAAAGTTTTGTGAAGAAGGAACAATAAATAATCGAATAGTTGACAGCAAAATAAAGAAATTAAACAGCCAACTTGTTTCTATATATTCCATCTTACGTACTTTATAGTTAAAAGTATAGTGCGTAATAGTTAAAAGTATAGTGCTTTCTAAAAAGACATGCCATACCCTATAAGCAGACGATATTAACATTTACATGACTAAAGGTAGCCTATATGCAGTGGTTTTATTTGTTCCAGATTGTTCTTTATATATTTTTTAGCTGATCGCTCTGCGCATGACTGTTGCTTTAAGCCTATTTTTATTTCGGGTGGTATGAAAAGCAGAGGGTGACGTCCGTGACATGACTGCAGAAGCGGCTGCATCATGTGTGATTTAAAAGTACCCGCCACTCGATTGGCGTAGACAGTGATGCGGAAACACAGTGAGTCCAAAATAGAAATAATCTCTGAATGGATACATGGATTGAAATCATTGGGCAAAAAGGGAAAAAGAAGAAGAGGAAGATGCGAGAAAGAGAGGATGTGAAGTATTTGGGAGAAAACGGGAAAATTTGATAGAGAAATAACGAGAGAAAAAAGAGAGGAATCAACAGAGAAAGAGCAGAGAAGAAGATGAATTGAGAAAGGGAGGATGTTAGAAAAACAAAGTGGGGGGGGCATATGAAGAAGAAGAAGAAGAAGTCTTGAGAAAGAGAGGATGTGAAGTATTTGGGAGAAAACGGGGGTATATATTGAGAAATAAGGAGAGAAAAAAAGAGAGGAATCAACAGAGAAATAGCAGAGAAGATGATGAATTAAGAAAGAGAGGATGTTAAAAAATACAAAGAGGGGGTGCGTATAAAGAAGAAGAAGAAGAAGAAGAAGAAGAAGAAGAAGAAGAAGAAGTCTTGAGAAAGAGAGGATGTGAAGTATTTGGGAGAAAACGGGAACATTGATTGAGAAATAACGAGAGAAAAAAAGAGAGGAATCAACAGAAAAAGCGCAGAGAAGATGATGAATTAAGAAAGAGAGGATGTTAAAATATACAAAGAGGGGGTGCGTATAAAGAAGAAGAAGAAGAAGTCTTGAGAAAGAGAGGATGTGAAGTATTTGGGAAAAAACGGGGGTATACATTGAGAAATAAGGGGAGAAAAAAAGAGAGGAATCAACAGAGAAAGAGCAGAGAAGATGATGAATTGAAGAAGAAGAAGAAGAAGAAGAAGAAGAAGAAGAAGAAGAAGAAGAAGAAGAAGAAGAAGAAGAAATAAATATATAGGACGTAAGTTAAAATATAACCAGAAATTCTGAGAGGCGAGAAAGAGCGATAAAAGAAGTTGAAGGGAAAAAGGTGAGAAGCAGAAGAAGAAAAAGATGAGAAGAAGAAGATGAAGGGAGTAATGAAACCATGGAAAATGGCGAAGAATATAGGAAGAAAAAAAAAGAGAAATAAAAAATGGTAGAGCGTGAAAAGAATATTTAAAAAGAAAGAAAAATTATGTTAAAAAATCAGAGTGAATAACATTTGAAAAAAGGAGAAAGAGAAAATATATAGAAAGACTTTGAGGAGTGGGGGCAAACACTGAAGTAAAAGAAAGACGAAGAAAATAATGAAAATATGAGGAAATATGGATAGAAAGAGGAAGAGAGAAGAAAAGATAGAGAAGATAAATGAAGGCGGAGGAACTAAAAAGATACGGGAAGAGAAAAAGAGGGTGAATCAGCGTTGAAAAGAAAAAGAAGAGGACATGAAGAAGGAAAAAGTCAATAAGGTGATAGTAGGAAAAGAAAAGGCAGAGAAAAATGAGAAAGATAGAGATTGAAATAGAAGGTGAAAGAAATATAGGGAGAGAGAGAAATAGGGAGGAAACAGACAATGAAGAAAAAGAAAGGAGAAACTAACGATAAAAATATAGGACAATGGAGAGGCAGAGAGAGCGAGAGAGAGGGAAAGACATAGAAAAATAAAGACGTAAAAACTAGACAAAATGAGAAAAATATGAAAAGGGAGTGAAAGAGAAAAATCAAGAAAAAGATATACAGGGTGATTGAAAAGTAACTACCGTAATTCCCCATGTATAATACGCATCTTTTTCTAAAAAAATAATAAGCAATATCAGAGGTGCGTATTATACACAACTACAAATATCTTTAAACAATTGCTGTAAAATAAGATAATTATTATCATAAAATTAAATTAGAATAATATTATTCTATGTTTAAAATCATTTTTAAAAATAAAAATAGGAAACGCTGGCTGTAATGAAATTGGAGAGCTACAATTTATAGGGTTTAATTACCAAACAAGGAGTGCGTATTATGCATGAGTAGAATCATTTTACCACACTTTCAGCACAATTTTAGGGGTGCGTATTATGGATGAAAGCGTATGGGGAATTACAGTACATATTGTATATATTAGTAGCCAGCCTGGAATATTGACTTAACACCCCGTGCCGTTTTTTCTTTGGGATTGGTTAAAGGAGGAAGTCTATTATGCCAAACCAAAACTTTGGAAGAGTCTGAATGGCAATTACAAGAACTTATGTCTTCCATACTACAAGAGTTTCTAGTGAAATGAATTGACTCGATTCCTGAGCGACTCGAGAAGCTGGTAGCGAAGTCAGCTGCACATATCTAATTTTAAATGAAACCTCATCTCAGAACCATTTGTTTAAAAAATATATAGTTAATAAATAAATTAAGTATTTTAAAATAGGGATTTACTTTTCAATCATCCTGGAGATGTGGAAAAAAACGACGAAGAAACTAAAGAACGTAAGCAAAATATAGAAAGAGAAAGAGATAGACAGAAAGAGAGTGATTCAACGTTGAGAAGAAGAAGAAGAAGAAGAAGAAGAAGAAGAAGAAGAAGAAGAAGAAGACGAAGAAGAAGAAGGAGGAGGAGGAGGAGAAGAAGAAGAAGAAGAAGAAGGAGGAGGAGGAGGAGAAGAAGAAGAAGAAGAAGAAGGAGGAGGAGGAGAAGAAGAAGAAGAAGAAGAAGAAGAAGAAGAAGAAGAAGAAGAAGAAGAAGAAGAGGTAAATATATAGGACGTAAGTGAAAAGATAACCAGACATTCTGAGAGGCGAGAAAGAGCGAAAAAAGAAGTTGAAGGGAAAAAGGTGAGAAGCAGAAGAAGAAAAAGATGAGAAGAAGAAGATGAAGGGAGTAATGAAACTATGGAAAATTGCGAAGAATATGGGAAGAAAAAAAAGAGAAATAAAAAACGGTAGGGCGTGGAAAGAATATTTAAAAAGAAAGAAAAATTATCTTAAAAAATGAGAGTGAATAACATTTGAAAAAAAGAGAAAGAGAAAATATATAGAAAGACTTTGAGGAGTGGAGACAAACACTGAAGTAAAAGAAAGACGAAGAAAATAATGAAAATATGAGGAAATATGGATAGAAAGAGGAAGAGCAAGAGACAAGGCAAGAAGAAGAAGAAGAAGAAAGAAGAAGAAGAAGAAGAAGAAGAAGAACAACAACAACAACAACAACAAATGACGGTCCAGCAAAAGGGAGTTCGAAGAAATATGGAAAGAATTGAGAAAGACAGAAACTAACATAAGAGAAAGTGAAAGAACGACAGAAAGAAAAAGAGAGAGAAACAAAACAGATAATAGTACAAAAGAAAGACGGAAAAACTAAAGGGAGGAGTAAACATAGGAAGAAAAAAAGAGGGAGTGATAGAGAGGGAAAGAGATACAGAAGAGAAATAAACAGAGGAAACTAAAAAGAAGAAAAGAAACTATGCGAAGAGAGAGGGAGGGAGAGAGAGAAGAGAATAAAGAAATAAAGAGAGCGGCAGAAAGATAAAACATAGCAAAGTAGTATCGAGGATTTACTTTATTGTCACTAGGACTATTGGCCTTATCTTTGCTGCTATTATCACAACGTTTCGACCGTTTTGCCCTCTGACCTTGTTTAGGCGCTTCTCGTCTGGGTAACCTTCAGAGAAATTTGAATTCTGGATTTTAATCTACGGCGTTAGATAAAATGGAGAAACTGACAGACAAATAAAGAAGTTGCTGTATACTAACTGGAGCTTAGTAAGGCACAAGGCTGCAAATACGAGGGCACCCAGTAAGGATCGAACTCAGGAATCACCAGTAAAGGTCAGCGAGACTAGCTCGCTAGCCATTACTTCACGACTAAAGAGAAAGAATGATGTAAAATGAAAAAGGAGGGGAGTGCTAAAAAGCCGATGAGAAATGAGAAAGAGGTGAGAGACAAAGCGGGTAGGTAAAGCATTTGGAAGGGTAGGGGTGAACGGTAGAGGAGATGTCGTATTAAGGGAAAGGTAAGAGCGGAAGCGGGTAGTGGGTGGGGAGATAAGTGGGATGAACGGTAAATGATCGATGAAAGCCAGGATCGAAAATAAATTGTTATTTTTACTCTTTGGGCATTGCGAAATTTATATTAATCAGACTGACCGCTGGAAAATAGGCTGGTTTTTTTTTTTTTTACATTTTTGCACTCAAAAGTAAAAAAAAAAAGAAAAATTAAAAAAACAAAAAGAACAACAACAATAATAATGACACCCCCTCCCCCAAAAGGTTGCTACTCTACTAGAAGACCTCTCAGAGAAAGGTCGAAAGAAAAGGAAAAAATATTTTTGAAACTTACCAGTGAACTGAAAAAAAAAAAAGAAACAAAAAATGAAGGTGACAGTATTACCCACCATAACTGGAATACATGGAATACTCCCAAAGACTCTTGCAACAAAAAGATCTAATGTAGATAAAGTAGAAATCTTCCAAGAATTAAAAACTTATATATAGGTCTATGCGAAAATTCTCAGCGGTCATTTTTTTAAAAACTAGAATGTGACTTCAGAGCAGAATATTTTCTTTTTTATTTTACATTTTAAAAGAACGCTGTAAAGTTTTGCACACAATTAAAACTCAGCGATAACAGTACAAAACTACTGAAGTAACGTGCTATCTCATGGCAGCCTCTAAAAGCGACGAGAGACGTGTACAATGAGGGAATTATCATGTACGACCATGTTGACATCTATTCATGCTTAGAATACTACTGCCACATGGTGCGGTGCCCCTGAAATTTACCTTGAACTCCTTGATAAGATCCTGATATGTCCCGGAAAGGGATATATTTGAACGAAGTAGCTAAGTGGTTTTGGCTACTATAACCAAGTAGAATACGGTAGCAGTAATCGACTGGTACGCGTCGTAGTCGCAGGTAAGAAGTGTAGATCAATGGCGTAGTCAAATGGGTGTCGTTATAGACTTAGCTCTCAGACTAAGGCTCTTGACTCTCTCACACCTACACGTCCGTCGGTATTTATGACGGACACCAGACAATCATATTCCAGTGAAGGGAAATAGGTGTATGCATATTCCATTATATCAGATAGATAGATAGATAGATAGATAGATCATGAACAGTCTGAGATAGATAGAACTAGATTATATCCAGGAAGATTACGAACAGACAGAGATAGTGATATGTCCCGGAAAGGGATATATTTGAACGACGTAGCTAAGTGGTTTTAGGCTACTATAACCAAGTAGAATATGGTAGTAGTAATCGACTAGTACGCGTCGTAGTCGCAGGTAAGAAGTGTGGATCAATGGCGTAGTCCAATGGCCGTCGTTATAGACTTAACTCTCAGACTAAGGCTCTTGACTCTCCTACACGTCCGTCGGTATTTATGGCGGACACCAGCCAATCATATTCCAGTGAGGGGGAACACAGGTGTACGCATATTCCATTATATCAGATCCAAAGAAGAATCTGCAATATTACTGGTTCTGATCTGGCAGCTCAGCTCCAGTTACTTTCTCGCCGCTTTAAGGTCGCCTCGCTATATGTTTTCCCTAAATAATTCCATGGTAATTATTCCCGTGTGCCCTTCACTATGGTACATGGATTTTTCTTTTTTGAATTTAAGCGCAGGACTAGATTGGCGTCAGATCTCATCAATTTACAGTTGAACTGGCTGGATGTAACCGTAATTTCTATGCTAACAGTTTCTTCTCTCGCACTTCTTGCTTGTGGAACTCCCTTCCGGTTCCATGCTTTCCAGCCAACTTTAATCTACAAAAATTTAAATGCAATGTCAATGGCTATTTACTGTCCACCTGATTATTCTATTCTCTTTCTGCTCATCATTAATGTTTCTGTTAATAATTCTTCCACGCCCTGTAACCCTTTTGTATGTTAGTGACATTACTGCTTTGCTTGGGGTGATTACAATAAAAAAGGTTAATCTCGACCATGCAGACCGGGCTTTGCATAGTTGAAACATATGCAACAAAAAATGAGTGAAAAAAAAATGGCGAAAATGCGTCCAAAGGTAAATATATCTTAATCAGTAATAAATAACAGCTGAATAAAGTCACGTTTCCTGTTGTAAGTGAGTTATCAAAAACAACAATAGAAAACCGGAATTTATTTAATAACAAGTTGATTACCTTTTGGTACAGGGAAACATAATGTAGAATAGAAACTAAGGAAGAGACTTTTTAACCGTGATTGACTGTCTTCAGCAAAGGCTACTGCGTCGACTGCTCCTCCTGCTACTCCTCTTGATGTAGGAATAATTTTATGTCTTTCGTCCGATGGCTGAGTTCAAACTTGAAGATAAAATATTTTCCTTCGTAACATTTCCATAAAACTGAATTTTCCTTACACAATCAGTAGCAGAATTTATTTTAACGACCAGAAAAAAAATCATCCTCTTCTATGTGCCGTTTTCTTTCAAGATGTTGGCGATCATGGCTCTCCACAATTTTCTGTCATCTGTAGCTTTAATAAATGTCTTTTTGTTATCTCTGCTAAACCTAATTTAGCTCGCTAGGTAGGTTATGCGTTATTTTCCTCTGTCCTTCTTGTCTTCAGTCTCTTCTGTGAGTATCAAGTTTCCTCATTATGTGCCATAAAATTTTCAACTCTCTTCATGATGTCAAGTATAAGTGTTCACGTCCTTCTGTAGAACCATATCTTTCTGCAGAATCAGATTTCTTCTGCTTTACTGGTATCTAGGAGGAGTGATATTATATAATAGTTAGATATTCTTCTGGGTAGTCTTGCGGGTCGGATGAGACCCGGGTGGGGGCGTATTTTGTACAATCAGGTTGTAGTCAAATGGTGGCGACCCAGTCTAAATACTGTCTTAGAAGGCAAAAATCACAAACTACTCTGGGATTTCTAAACGCAGATTGATGCTATCGAAGCTAGAAGACTGATAATTGGGAATAAAAATCACCGGGTTATGGGCGTATCTGTGATAGCAACCTACAGAATTCAGTCAGTTATATGCCATGCGTGATACACACTTAGGCGATCATGTATCTTTCGATAGGCAGATTTCTTCCCGCAGTGGGTGGCCATTTCTTTCTGTGGTAGACCAGTTGCCATCTAAGGCTATTTACCCATGGGGGAGAAGAAGAGGATTCATATCTTTCCCAAGGGTATTATCACGAAAGTGAATTTCAGTCAGTTATATGTCATGCGCGATACACGCTTAGACAATCATGTATCTTTCGATACATGACTGACGAGGCAGATTTTTTAGGTAGGTTGACATTTCTTTGTGAGGTAGACCAGTTCCCATCTAAGGCTATAGAACCCGGTCTGTCCTACTATTTACCCATAGCTGGGGGGAGAAGAAGAGGATTCATACCTTTCCCAAGGGTATTAATCCGTAAGTGAATGCAATGGATTCGACTGGAATTCGAACTCGGCTCTCCGATTCCGCAATCCGAGACGCTATCCATTACTCCACCGTGCCTCCCATCACTGTGCCTACAGAATTTCCATCCTGGCAAACACCTATGTTACACCTTGTCATAAAGCTTTGATATATTTGAAGCAATCTCTTGACGAAAATAACATTAATCGCTTTGCTGATTGTCTTGATGATGACAGTTAAAACATCAGCAATGAACCTAGAGGAGTGGAACTTATACTGCTTGTTGCTTAGAAGGTTGTTTCTGGCGGAGATGTTAAACTAACTACCTCTTTGTTTTTGTCTGAATTTCTGGGATGTGAAGTTATCATTAGTTACACTATTTATATTCGGATTATTGTCCTCATTTTGTTGTTTTTATCATAATGTTTCCGTCCTTGTGCCACACTCCGGCTTTCCACGGGTGTATATTGATCCGGGTAACCTACAGGGAATTCCGAATTGAACCCTTTATTTAAACTACGGGGTAGACTGTTCTGGTTCTTTATTTTAATTTAGCACGGTTCAGTTATTGCCCACCTGTTTCCATTAAGTGCAAGTACGCACTGGCCGACACACTATGTCACCAAATTCACAGACCAACGCTTTTATCCACTAGGTCATTTTTCAGTAGGAATATTTGTTCTGGAGTAAACTTAGAGCTTTAAACCTAACATTCACTGATGATTATATTGCAACTGCCACTGAATTTGGTGACATAATGGTTGTGTGTTCAGTCCCTGGGTCGGGCAGTGTGTACTTACACTTAGTGGAAACGGGCGAGAAATAATTGAATAATGCTAAATTAAACAAGAACTAAACGATATCCGTAGACATGAACAGTGGAGCGGGAACTGTCCACTCCCGTACATTTAAAAAAGGATTCAGGTAATATTCTCTCTAGGTTACCCATATCGATATACACATGAAAAAGGCCGGTGGGCACAACGGTCGAAATGTTATGATAGCAACAACAAAGATGAGGACAATAGTCCAAATATAAATACTTAAATACCTACTTATTGATAGTTAATATATAACAACTGCTAAGTTTTTCATGTTTTATGGCACTGAATCTGCATAATAGAATTAGATCAAAAGAAAAATAAATATGGTTTCTTTTTATCTTGTTTATAATCTTGCCGTGAGGATGATGATAAACTACATCGGGAGGTTTTGAGTAGAATGGAGTCACCTCTTAATTGCTGTTGTTCCCAAGCTCGGGAAGGTAGCACCTATTAGGGTCCCAGCTCTGGGTAAATAGTGATCCCCATCAAACTTAAACAAAACACTATGAAAATATAAAAATACATTTTTATACTAAAAATTCCAGGAATACATTTCTATAGAAAAAAAAAAGACCAGCAATACATTTTATTTGTAGTTGAAGGTATACAATTGCGTTCAAAATATATTTAGTTGAAGCCATAAAATTGTATTCAAAATATTTAGATTTCGGCATTAAATAACCCACAGAGATGTTGATATGCCGCTAAACAAAATTAGCCAACCAATCAAACGACATCAAAGAAATCATTCATGACATTAATCCATATAATATCCTAAAATTTCTTAAAGAAGTCAAACTGTATTCCAAAATATAATTTAAACAGAATTACAACATAAAACACACATACCACTGTCTCTAGTAATTATGTTCACATAAAAATGTATATACAAACACCGAGTATCATCTACCATTTATTCAACTGTGAAAGCAGAATAAAATTTATCATATTTTTATTAGTTCAAAGCTCCCAAGAAAATAACATTTCGTCATTAAATGACCCATAAGGCTTTGATGTGCCGTTTACTAAACAAATCAATCGTGTTCTTACCTAGTTTCGTCAGATTTAAACATTGATATGCATGTCAGATAAGGTGCCAAATCCGTCCAGAAATATCTAAATTGTTAGTTGTATACAAATGCTGCCTGAAATAAATGATTAATCTTAGCTTCGAAAGAATGAAAGCTGCAGATCTTAAAGCCAAACATTCTTCTTCGAAATTTGTAAACTGGCGTTACAGAATCATAAGTAAATAACTCTAGCAAATAAGAGAAGGCAAATTGATTGAGGACTTCCAACGACTGCAATAACTAAAATGGATAGCACATTTACGAGAAATTAATAGCATAAACAAGATTCTAAAGTTCAACGCAAAATCGAAAAATAATTGAGAAGGGGAGACGTCATGAATACTGGAAAAACGCGATGACAATAGGTCAAATCGAGAAACATCTTTTCCTGAGAAATTCCTTTAATAGAAAGATTTGATAAATTCCAACAAACAGACTCACTGGTTGTTCGAGTAATAAATGCTGAATTTTTCCTTATGTAAAAAAAAAGGGTTAATATTTCCATCGCCATAAGAGTGAATGGACTCGAGAAATTATTTTACCTGAAAGTTTCAGAGAAAGATATTATAAATTTCAGCCCAGACTAGTACTGGATGCTCGGCCAGTGAATACCAAATGTTACTATTTCCGTCACTATTGTAAGTTTTATAGACATTTAATACTATAAAACCACATGGAGGTAGGAAAGTTTTCGTCAATCAGGAAGTTTCTGGGTAAAAGGAAGAGAGCTGAAAAGTTCAGCATTGGGTGGAAACGCGCTTAGAAAGAACGACAAATACCGAGACTTGGTTTTATCTCGGAAACACTCTGCGTTGGCTTCAAGAGTGAGAAAAGTGACCGTGGGAAGAGAGAAAGACATTTTTTTTTTCAATAAACGGATATTTATTTAAGAAACTGTGTAGCAGATTTGTGGACAGAGGTCAAGAGGACTGGAAGGGGACGACCTCGCCAATTGAGTGCTCGGACGGAATATAAAGATCCGAAATTTATCAAATCTTCGGACAATTGATAAAAATGTCATCCGTATGAATAATGGTAGGCCTAATCCAATTTGGATTCTACCGATACTCGAGACGTAGCTTAAATAATTAATGTAGGTATACGTGCAGAGATTCATCGATACATACGCAAACACACGTACACGCACGCACACACACATATATATATATATATATATATATATATATATATAGAGATAGATAGAGAGAGAGAGAGAGAGAGATGAGAGCTAGTGTATGTGTGTGGCCGTTTGTTTGTGTCTGTGGTGGTGCATATATATATATATATATATATATATATATATATATATATATATATATATATTATTTTAAGACATTTTATGTTTATACATTCTTATAAATATCTTAAAATAATTGTCGGATTTTATCCATTTCATAATATATATATATATATATATATATATATATATATATATATATATATATATATATATATATATATATATATATATATATATATATATATATATAAAGGTTAGGTTCGAAATAAATATTCTTAAACACTCCAGTTTCATTTTCAACTTCTTTTTCCGATATATATTTTTACCCGCGTGCAGCACCTCGTGGTGGCGTAATGGTTAGCAAATTCCTCTCGCTAGAACAACTACGACTGAGTATTGTGTTCGATCCTCATTGTCTACCCCTCATATCTTCGGCCTTGCGCCACGTCTAAGCTACGCTAGGAAGTTCAATATATTTTTACCCGTGTGGGATATATATATATAATAATTACTTATTTTATATACAGGCTGTAACAGCAAAAGTGTCTAAATCGTGTTACTGCTTAATTATCCATCCCACAAAAAAAAAAATACTAATTGCGATTTCAGATAAGGCGTTTAGCGATCTTAACAGCATTTTTGTAATAATCACTGAAAATCCCTTTGAGTTATTCGGTTAAAAAAGCGAGCAGGTTAAAACTGTTTTCTGTCAGAACAAGTGTCTTCCCAACTGAGCAATGGTGAGAGGAAAGATATAATTCATGCCTTCAGTAATGATACCAACATTTATACTCTGGCTTCCATCTTCAAAGTCTATTCAAGGACCATCAAGAGAACGGTGAATAAGTTTAAAAAATGGGAACAGTAAAGAGGAAAACTGGATCAGTATCTATAATGGCCTAGTAGATAAAGTCGTTGATTATATCCAGTGACTAGAAACAAAAAGTTGTGAGTTCAATACCAGGCCGCTTACTTTTGGACGTTCCAAATTTGAAAATAAATAAATAATTGTTATAATTCTTTTTCTATCCTTTGCAAATGGTTCAAATTTTAGTATGTTATTATGGATGATAACGACTACCAGTTGTCAAAATTTCAGCTTTTCACTTGTTATTTCTAACAAATATTAGGTTTTAAAATTTTGTCCCTTAGTTTTGGACGCTACTGTATATATCTGTGTGTGTGTGTGTGTGTGTGTGTGTATGTGTGTGTCTTCCATAGTTTACTTTTCCTTATACAGTTAGATTTCAGAATAATTTAAAGCGTTCTCAAATCTAAAATTAGAAAACTTGATATCTTTCCTCCTCTTTACCTCTATATATACGTTAGAAAATAAATTCTCCACAATTACCTTGATAAAGTTGCTCAGGGAAGGAAACGTTTTATGGTCAGTTTTCCTTTTATCTTATTCTTATCTTATTTGTGTGTGTGTGTTTTGTCTGTGGAAAGGAATGAATGCCAAGAATATATCATTCTAATGAAGTTCATACAATTTCATGAAAGCAAATCAGCAAAAGAATATAATCTATGCGATGGACAAGTCTTGATATGATAATGCCATTAGGGTCAGGCATAGTTTCAGAGTATAAACCTCATTATGACAAACTCGGAGACGATTAGAGAAAATCCTTCAAATATCATTAAGCTTTGTTTGTTTTTCGTCACACTGTGGCAATGCAATGACCATACAGATCCGATCTTGTGAACTTTCTATGCGTTTTCTCTTTCCCTATGAAACCATCTCGAATTTAACAGAATAAGATCTGTATCGACAAAAGTCAGTGTCCGCTGCATTGTCAGGTGCAAAACATAGTCTATATTTGACAGAATATAATTTAACATAAAATGAATTGTTACTGACGAAAAAAGTAAGAAACATAATTTTCATAATTTACGCTATATTGTCTTCACCTTTAATGTTTTAGCCGTTAGAAATTCAGCCGTTCATCCGGTGCTTAGGGAAAAGATAACTGAACCCTTTATTAAATCTACGTTTTGTTGCGCTGATCATGTTTAGGGATATCTTGTCTAGGCCTCATTTACTACTGCTCATAGTTTAAATCTGCATTACCGGACGCAAGAATTGTACTCACGATTACGACGCCATTACATTCTCGTAATCTGGTCGGGATTTAAATACAGCGTTTCCAAAGTGTCACTAAGGGATTACGAAATTTATTAACTCCTTTATTTTTTAACTTTAATTATCAACAGCATAGCATTATTGGTGTAACCTAGGAAGCGTTACTGAATAAGGAATAACCAAAACGGAAGGAAGGAAGGAAGGAAGGAAGGGAGGGAGGAAGGAAGAGATAGATAGATAGATAGATAGATAGATAGATAGATAGATAGATAGATAGATATTAGCAGAATGAGATAGATAGATAGATAGATAGATAGATAGATAGATAGATAGATAGATAGATAGATATGAACAGATTGGGTAGACAGAGATAAAGGAAGGATAGAAGAAAGGAAGAGATAGATAGATAGATAGATAGATAGATAGATAGATAGATAGATATGAGCAGAATGAGCTAAACAGACTTGAGTAGATAGAGTAAGTAAGTAAGGAAGGAATGAAGGAAGGAGGAAAAGGAGGAAGGAAGGAAGAAAGGGAGGAAGGAAGGAAGTAACAGATAGATAGATAGATAGATAGATAGATAGATAGATAGATAGATAGATAGATAGATATGAGCAGAATAAGCTAGCTAGCTGAATATAAACAGACTTGAGTAGATAGAGTAAGTAAGTAAGTAAGTAAGTAAGTAAGGAAGGAAGGAAGGAAGGAAGGAAGGAAGGGAGGGAGAAAATGAGGAAGGAAGGAAGGAAGGAAGGGAGGGAGAAAATGAGGAAGGAAGGAAGTAACAGATAGATAGATAGATAGATAGATAGATAGATAGATAGATAGATAAATAGATAGATATGAAGAAATTTGTGTAGACAGAGGTACAGGACAGAAGGAAGCAATAGATAGATAGATGTGAATAGAATTAGACACGTACGTAGCAATTGCCTCGTCTAATGCTCTTGGATTTCCTTGACGTCTTGAAATCTTCCTTTCAAAATGGCTTCGATTTTTGGATAGAAGAAAAAGTCGCAAGTGTCGAGGTCAAGCGGGAATATTGCAGTTGTCGGTACTAGAGAATATTGGTCATGGCCACAAAAAGCTGCACAAACCATGACCATTGATGGAATATCTGTGCTGTGGTAAGACGATCACACTATACACATTTCCCTTTTAGGCACTGCTATTAACAACGGAAGTGAGCGAAAATGTTATAACCTCGTGCGCATGCGCAACAGAGTCCATGGTCAGTCTGTGCCAAGCTGCTTCACTCTGCGCACTTTAGATCTCTTATTATAGCAACAGACCCAATACTTTTTGATTAAACTTTGTAGCCGTAATAAAATGAAGCTTCAACTCATTATTGCTATCTTACCTTATACCTTTAGCATCATTTCGCTTAATCATTGTCATTAAGTACGTTGAAAAACGTCCATGCCTTTTAAAAAAAATTTATTTATTCTATTTAAACAAGTTGTCTGCTGTTTAGACGTTAGTTTCAAATAAAAACGGAGACACTGCAAAGTTTTTCATTGTAGCAATATTATGTCATATCTAATCTCCTATATGGCAGTCAATGCTGGAAATCTTTTTAAAGAGGAAGAAGAAACTTGAACTGACAGAGATGTGGTTTTACCGACAAGTGCTAAGAATACCCTGTAAACAAAGAGGAAGTTCGACGCAAATTTGAACTAGAAGGACACATATACTTACAATGAGAAAGAGACAGTGGACATTTCTGTAAAACGCAAGGAAAGATGACTTAAAGAATTCAACACTCACAAGAGACAGTGAAGGCAACAGAAACATAGAAGACTACGAGTCTGTATGGATGAATGGTAGAGCAAAGATAAAAAAGAATGGAAAATGGTAATTTTTTTGATTCGTTTCCTGTGGTTTATCAACACTTTGTTTATTTAAATCAAAAAATACTTTTAGATTGTAATATTTTTTTACACCAACCGCAGATCGAAGCTCACAGAACCTGGTATTTCCAAGCGGTCGCCCATCCAGGTACAGACCAGGCTCGACATTGCTTAACTTCGTGATCGTATTGGAACCAATGTTTCAACATGTTATGTCCGTAAGCCGGAAACGCATAAAAGATATGAAAGCACATATCCTGTAGAAACACGGCGCATGTAGATTGTAATCATTTTTTGTGAGGATAATAATGGTTTAGTGATACGTGTCTTACTAATTAACCCATAGCTAGGGGGAGAAGAGGTGGATTCATACCTTTCGCAAGGGTATTTGCACGTTAGTGAATATAAAGAATACAACTGGAATAGGAATTAGGCTCTTCGTTTAACAATTCTGAACCATTATCAATTACACCACCCACACATCGAAGCTCACAGAACCTGCTATTCCCAAGCGGTCGCCCATCTAGGTACTGACCAGGCTCGACATTGCTTAAATTAGTGATCGTACTGGAACCGGTGTTTCAACGAGATATATCCGTAAACCGGAAACGCGTAAAAGACATGGAAGCACATATCCGGTAGAAACAGGACACATGTAACAGAAAAGTAAACGAGAAAATGCAGTTCATAATGCTGTAGCCGATCTAATTTATCGTGTGTTTGTGCAGTCCTAATGAGAAACTGAGCAATCCACACGGTTGGTTAGGCAGGAGCTAACCTCGGCGGCGTCATGGAATTTTCAAGATGGCGTCGAGAGAGGGAAGCATTTGCCTGGAAAGAGTTCGGCAGGATAGACGCTGGTGGAAACGGTCGTATTCGTGACTGTGGAGATGGCTGATATTTTTGTCATTTTTGTAGACCTTATCAAAAGTCTGCGGAGAGAGAAATCATGATATTGGATACAACTCGAGGCTTGCCTACGTTCGCGGAGGTTATCTATATATCGAATATTCAAATACCCTATCAGCAATGGCATTTTAAAAGAAACTATCATAGTGAACCGAGTTATATAAATAGTACTACCAGGCTATGAAGGCGTATTGGTACACTGAAACTCTGTAACAAAATGGTGTCGCCGAACCCCATTCTGACAGTTACTCCATATTTCTTTCTTTTCTAAATTCGATTTACATTACATTATAAACGATTCTATTTTTGAACAACAAACGCTGCGTTTCATCTCTCTCAATTCCACTCTCTTACTTTCGATCAGTGAGAGTTTCTTATCAAACATTCCCCCATTCAGGCTCCATTCTTTCTTTTTTTCCCTCTCTTTCATTCTCTCATATTTCATTTTCTTTTCTCTTTCTTTCCAACGATAAGAGGGATTGATTTTTTAAAAATCTCCCCTCTTTATATACTTTCTCTTCCTTTCTCTCGATTTCCATTATATTCTCTCTTTTCTTTATAACGATAGAGGGATTTTTTCACCTCCCCTCTTTATACTCTGTTTCTCTGTTTCTGTTAGTCTGTCTGTCTGTCTGTCTGTCTCTTTCTCTTTCTAGCTTTCTTTCAAATTCTATTTCCTTTTCTCTTTTCTGTGCAATGATGAGTGGATTTTTGAAACCTCCTCTATTTACTCTCTATCATATATATATATATATATATATATATATATATATATATATATATATATATATATATATATATACAATAACGGCCATAATATAAGGAACGGAAACAACACAGACATAAATATGTGTATTACTTAAAATGTAATGCATGATTAGCAATGACATTTTTACCGAATAAAGATTAGGGTGTAATGCATAAATATTATACAAAGTTACAAAAGTTTACATAATAGTTTTTTTTTTAAATAAAGATTAAATGGAACAAAGGAAATAAGCTACTGGACAAAAGTTAAGGAACGATCTTGTTAATACTTGATTGTGAACAAAATATCAACAAAATTTAATATTTGGTAAATATCCCCTTATTTTCAATGACTTCTCTGCATCGTCGATCACATGATCTAATTAATTTCTTGCAAAACGCAGCAGTAAACCCCTCCCATTCGTCTTTCACTAACTCACATAGGTGTTCCTGGTTTTTCGGGTTTCTTTTCTGAGCCCTTTCTCCAATTATCTTCCAAACATTTTCTATTGGATTCAAGTCGGGGCTCTGGGCTGGCCATTTCATTAGCGCGATTCCTTCTTCAAATAAAGCCATAACTTTCTGAGCCTTGTGGCAAGGTGCATTGTCCTGCATGAAAATAGGAGATTCATAAAGATTATGGTGTAATATTGGTACCACATGCTTCTGAAGAAGCCTTTTGTAAATCTCAGCATTGATATTGCCATGTACGCGGATGATAGAGCAAACTCCTGCAGATGAAATCATTCCCCACATCATCACACTGCCGCCACCAAACTTAACGGTTTTCTTGACACATTGAGAAGACAGTCTTTCACCTGTTCTACGGCGTACGTAAGTTTTGCCCTCAGAACCAAATATAGTAAACTTGGACTCGTCACTGAAATGAACTGTATCCCATTGTGCGTCAGTCCAAACAACATGTTCTCTAGCATACTCCAGGCGTGCCCTTTGATTTCGCTTTGAAATGAGAGGCTTCGATCCTGAAATACGGGCATGCAATCCTACATATTTTAACTTGCGAGCAACCGTTTTTTCTTGAGATCTTATTATCTGTCTCTTCATTAAATTTCCGGGCAATTGATGTAGCAGTTTCAAAACGGTTTTTTGTAGATATTCTAACAATTCTTCGATCTTTTCTTTGCGATGTTTTTGGAGCTCTGCTGGTTTTTGGTTTTGCATCTAACATTTTATCAGTTTTATACCTGCTTATTACACGATGAACGACACTTTTAGACCTATGAACAATATCAGAAATTTCTGAAATTGACTTTTTTTCTTGATAGCGATAATGAGTTATTTTTTTCAAAAGAGAGCGTTTTGCGTGTAGAATTTGCCATA